GAGAGAGAGAGAGAGAAACATCAATGATGAGAGAGAATCATTGATCGGCTGCCTCCTGCATGTCCCCCTACTAGGAACTGAGCAGCCAACCCAGGCATGTGCCCTGACCTGGAATTGAACTGTGGCCTGCTGGTTCATAGGTCAACACTCAGCCACTGAGCCACACCGGCTGCGCTGGCATACATTTTAAGCTTTTAATTTACTGTTTTTAAGACATTCTCAGTTCCCTCACTGAGCAGAGTTTTAGGAGACTGTGCTTTTTCCTTAAAAATTTGTTTAAGCAATTTTGAATGGCTTTTATAGATTTGAAGATTGACATAGCAGAAATTCAACAGATACTTCTTGGAGGATAGTCTTAGTTCTTGAACTATTTGATTGGGACACATTATCATAGGATTTCATTGATGAATATTCAAACTGTGAACTTATTGTAGGAATAAAGGGACCTTAAACGATTAGAGCCTACTTGCTTCTGACTTCTTGAGAGTTTGTATTAACATAGATTACTGAAGGTATAACTCATACTTATTTTTATTTAGTGACTCTTAGTATTTTCTTCTGAGATGTTATTTTCACCCTCTTCATAACATTGAATATGAATCTCTTCCTTAAAATATTAATCTATCCTAGAGCAAAGAGCCATTGGCAAGATTGCCAAATGTAATTTAGAGCTATTCATTTAAGTCTGGATAGCTCTTGTAAGTACACTTGAGTTAAGCTTTTTCATATCCATAAGTATTAAGTTAGAGAAGGAATTACTAACTCATGAAAAGCATTGTATCAGCAAATACAATTTAGTACTCACAAAAAATGTTTTCCTCTTACACATGTATTTTATAATCATATAATTTTAGTGGATGAGTAAATACAATATAATAAATCTCATTTTTCTTAATCAAGAACCATGGAAGGAGAAAGTAAGAGGGTGAGAGAATTTTATAACTTGCTAGTTATCTAAATAGTATAAATGATTATCACAATGAGATCACACTGAGATTTTCATTAAGATGACAAAGAGCTTAACATTTTAAAATGTATTAATATATTGAACATTGACTCATCAGAATTTCTTATGCATACATACAATACATATTCAATACATATTTATTGAGGATTTATTATAGATACACTGACTAAGAAATGAAACCAAGATATATTCATTCTCTACCTTCTAGAAGCTTAACAGTATTTGGAAAAAATAAAACATTAATTATTTCAGGTAAGTAACAATATAGTAATTAAATGAAAAATCAGGTGGTGTAAACAGAAAAAAAAGCAATAGAAGGTAAAGAAGCCTAATGTGGACTAAGGTCACCTGAAGGACATAAACATGTCAGGTAGGGACCCTATGCATTGCTGGTGGGAATGTGAAATGATAGAGCCACTTTGGAAAACAGTTTAGCAGTTCCTCAAAAAATGAAATACAGCCGAAACCGGTTTGGCTCAGTGGATAGAGCGTCGGCCTGCGGACTGAAAGGTCCCAGGTTCGATTCCAGTCAAGGCCATGTACCTTGGTTGCGGGCACATCCCCAGTAGGAGATGTGCAGGAGGCAGCTGATCGATGTTTCTCTCTCATCGATGTTTCTAACTATCTCTCTCCCTTCCTCTCTGTAAAAAATCAATAAAATATATTTAAAAAAATGAAATACAGTGTTACCACCAATTAATCCAGCAATTTCATTCCTGGTTATATACTTAAGAGAATTGAAAATGTACATCTACACAAAAATGTATACATGGGTATTTACAGAAACATTATTCATAATAGTGTAAAAAGGGAAACAACCCCAATGTCCAACAAGTGATGAATGGGAAAGCTAAAGGGGTATATTCTTACAGTGTAATACTACTATCTGGCCTTAAAATGAAGGCAGTACTGATACAGGCTAGAATATTGGTGAAGTTTAATTGTTATGTTAAGTAAATGAAGCCAGTTACAAAAGGCCACATATTGTATGGTTATATTTATTTTTTGTTTGTTTTTGTTAATCCTCACCTGAGGATACTTTTCCATTGCTTTTTAGAGAGAATGGAAGAGAAAGGGAAAGACAGAGAAACATCGATGTGAGAAGAACACATCGATTGGTTGCCTCCTGTAAGAACCCTGACCAGGGCCCAAGCCGGGGAGGAGCCTACAACCAAGATATGTGCCCTTTACCGGAACTGAATCCAGGACCCTTTGGTCCACAGGCTGATGCTCCATCCACTGAGTCAAACCAGCTAGGGCTGTATGGTTATTTTTACATGAAATGTCCTGAATAGGCAAACCCATGGAGATAGAAAATAGATTGGAGATTTCCGTGGGCTGGTGGAGTGGAGAATAGAGAATCAATGGTAATGGGTATGGTGTTTTTTTTCAGAGTGGTAAAAATGTTCTAAAATTAGACACCAGTGATGGTTGCAAAACTTGTGAGTGTACTAAAAACCTCTGAACTGTATGTTTTAAAAGGCTAAATTTTATGTGTGAATAAAAGCTCAATAAAGGCATTAATTTTAAAAAAACGGAATAAAAATAATGAAGGCTATTCTTGTTATAAACTCATTTGCTTTTTTAATAAGTATTTCAGTTTATTAAATTGAAAATTGTTTCAAAATTGCCTAGATAAAATTGCATGATGAATAGCTATCCTAAAAAGGTAAAGATTAAAGTACATAGGGATCAGAGTTCTACTTAAATAATAAGAAAAAGAATAAAAATAAAATAAGAATAAGAATAAGAATAATAGGGTCTTCCATGTGGACTTGCTTCATGCTTAATAAACAATTAATGAAAGGGTTGTATGGCAAAATTACAGTGAAAAAGTATAATACAATGTGGTTTTACTAGTATTCACACACAAAATATTTTTAAAAAATAAATATTTTTTAACCACAGCTATCTGAATCAGTGAGTTTAATAAATATTTATGGGTTTTGAGAAAATTGTTTTAATTGGCCGTTTCATGTCAGCACAGGACTGACACCTTACAGTGAAAGTACTAGTGTCTGTCATCAGAGCCGTTTCCTTTTCACTCCGCAGGTGCCTGTGGTGGGTTCCTGAGGACAGGAGAGGCGCCAGCCTTTCTTTTCTCCCCAGGCTGGCCCCAAAACTACGGGAACAGGGCTGACTGTGTGTGGCTTATCCAGGCTCCTGACTCCACTGTGGAACTCAACATCCTCTCCCTGGACATCGAATCTCATGGAACATGCAACTATGATAAACTTGTGATACGAGATGGTGAGAAA